TCCCAGCAGAAGAGAGCATATCAACACGCCTCCAACAACAACAACAGATCGAAGAGAGCCAGAGAAGAAGGACCCCAAACAACTCTGGGAGGAGTGGTAGCAGAAGTCTTTGATCCATCAAGAACTGTGTCATCTGTAAGGCCAGACATCTTGTCTCAGAGTCCCCAAGAGATCACACTCTGTCTTCTGTATTAAGAATACAATAACAAAAGGACAAGGACCTTTGAATGCGCTGACCATGGAGACAATCAAAGAAAGCAGAAGACTCACCAGGCAATTCAGTGCTCCTCTACCACTGAATGAGAGAGGAAGCTGGAGGCATTCCACAAGAGAAAATGAGAAGCATTCTTTGCGCTAGAACCAACACTGCCAAAGCCACATCCACATCCACTCCAAGAAAGAACAAGGTAACGACCACTCCAGCAGTCTTCTGTGAGAAAGTCACAGCTCTTGTTGAAGATGCTGCCTTTGTGGAAAAGCACAAGACCAAAATAGCCCCTCTGGCAATGATAGCAATGGCAGAAGCAGTGTCAGAATGCATTACAAGGTCAAAGAACCAGGAACTATTCCAGCAACATTTTGATGGACTCACCTGACAATCCCATCCACAAAGGAACAATTCGAGTCTCCTCACTACCACTCCATTGTTGGCCAGAAACTGCTTCTAGTGGACTGGAATCGATGTGGAATTACAGTTCCTTGTCCCGATGGAAGATGCTCTGGCAACTCAAGAATACAAGGACAAACTGGTCACACAACAAGACCTTGTCCCCATCTTTGGCATCACTGGTCCTCCTTCTTGGTGTATGGTCATGTCCATGGTTTGTGGAAGCTGCAACAGAAGATTCGATGCCAACTCTGCAGAAGTGCTGGTCTCGATCCCAGATCATGCTTCATTGCTCTATCCAGTGGAGTCCAAGTATGCGCTACCTAACAAGGCTTGTCACTTGGAGGAACAGCAACAGAAGTGTTTCGATTCTATATGTTAACCTATGGAAATGGAGACCTATGCAGCCGCCTCATCTACAATGCAATCAACAGAGAGTATCTTAGAGCCATGATGTCTTACTTCTCATACTGCAAGGAAGCGACACTGATCCTGATCCTTTCTTCAAAAGGATGGACTTACATCAGACAGTCCTCCCCTTGGTGACACCATCCGTGACGTCTATGATGAGGCTTGTGCTTCAAACAGGAATCCGTGGAGGATCAGTGACAACACAAGACACACAAGAGAGATCCAAAGTGTCAGTTGCAACAAAGGAATCTTCTGCCAAGACCATACATTCCAGGTGGTCAAGAACTACTCCAAGAGTCTTGGTGCTGCTGCTGTTTGGGATGCTGCTACTGAGACTGGTGAGATTGCATGTGCTGTGCTTGTTCCACCACCAAGACCATCCACTTCTCTCATGCTGCCATGCAGCTAGCAAGAGGAGCCACTTCAACCCAGCTGCCATGTACAGTGATACCTGGCCCCACAAGGATGACTACTGGGAGATACTCTTTCCAGGAATCGAGGGAAGACTTGGCCTGTTTCATTATGAGAAGAGGATACTGTCAACTTTGAGAAAGGGACACATTGATCACTATCAAGCTATGTCAGACTCTTGGATTGCTTGTATGTGTACTCACCTGATGACTATGAGAAGCTGCTGCATGCTCTGAAACATGGTCTACTATCCACCAATGGCAAGTGTTACTCTATGGCTGAGATCTCCGACATGCAAGCCTCCAAGGTCTTCAGAAATCGGTACTCCAAGTATCTAAGGAAGCAGATGAGGTCACAGAAACAATTAGACAGAAGTTGCAACAGTGGTTCTGCAGATACAAGGTGACAGCCAGTGATGGTAGCCAGCCAGGAGGGCCGACTCGATCCAGTCAAGAACTTTACCTTGTTTACTTCTGATACAAACCAGCAGTAGAGAACTGCGTTGACAAAGCCATCTCACTTGGCTGATCCCCTGGCACTGGAAGACATGTATGACACAATCCAGCCATCTCCAAACTCCAAGCACAAGCTTCCAGAAGTACCTATCAAGGAAGAGGAGAGTCAAAGTTAGAGGCTTTCCATGACAAGTTTGCTCACTTTGGCAATGGTGGAATGAGAAGAACACTTGCTGATGCACTCAATCTTGCTGGCACTGCTAGATACAACCTCAAGATTCGCCACAAGAGAGCCTTCCTGTCAAGAATCAGCGAGGCAGAAAGAAGTCAATTCCAGCTGGATGGAGAAGGTTGTTCCTTACTGGAACCATTCAGAGTTGGCTTACCTCAATGACATGGCAGAGGCTGTTGTCTGGATGCACCATTTCCAAATGCAGAACCACTGCCACAGGACACTGGAGAGCGATTCTTCTCAGAGTTCATTGTTGGATTCAAGCCACACAGACAAAGGTATGCACCAAATGATTGTTGTTTGTGTGTGGCTTGTACAGGACCACAACCACCGACTCCACCAGCAATCGAGCCACCAAATCAACCAGCAATGGAGCCACCGACTGCAACAGCAATGGTTCCACCACCGCCGCCGCCACCACCCAATCCACCTCCACAAGCAGCTCCTCCTGTAGCACAAACAAGAAATTCTTACATGGTAACCTGATACTCTATCAGCAACAACACCAGATCAAATGATGCAACTTGCCTTAATGCAGCAGCAATTCCAACCAATACTGCCATCTCCTTTCCACTCACCTCCAACACCGAATGGCTGCTGTCAGAGATACTGCCAGTGTTGACTCATAGGAGAGGAAGACCACTCATGATCATAATTGCCAATCAAGATTGACTGGGTATGGGAAGTAGCAACAAGCAATCAATGTTTAGATCCACAAATTCATTTCTAATTTAGCCAGTAACTTACATATCATTGCCAATGAAATCAACAACCATAGTCTCACTCATCTCAGTACATTTCTTGAAGGAAATCTTCTTCTTGTAGTCAATCCAGTTGGCAACAATAATAATGCCAAGCATCCATCACACTCTGTCCTTCGAGGGAGGACAACTCATAGCTCTCACTGACCCTTTCCCTCACTAACCAGTAGATGCACTCAATGAAGATGTCCTTCCTTTCACAGGGATGTGGGGACGGCGACTCCAGCATTTCAGAGAGGGTGGAGATGACAGCTCTGTACCAGTTTGGACTTTTCTGAAGGCCTGAAGCTAACATGTAATCCATGATGTCGGTCATGGCAGGAGGAAGTGGCTTGCATGCTCCTTGCAATATCAACTCCTCAAGAACGGTCACTTCCATGCTGGTTGTGGCCAAACAGAAGTTATCCTCCTCATCACTGTTGTACCCACAAATGACATACTTGCAATTGAATCCTTGCCTTGTCACCCTCAGCTCATTGAATGGGTATCTGTTGACACTTTGCAGCCAATTGGAGAACCATGGACTTGTAGCGATCCTCATTGTCGCGTTGTTGTTTCGGTCTGAATTGTCGAGTGGCGAGTTTCGTCAGCGGTACCGTAGAGGAAGGAACGGAGCGTCGGTAGAGGAAGGAGCGGAGCGTAGTGGAAGGATAGAAGGATTAGTAGCATGCCATTGTCACCATTGTGGATAACAACAACAACACCGACAACAACAACAACAACAGCAGCATTCTTACCTTGTCGAGTACGACCTTACTAGTATGCCAAGGTTTCGAATTATGGCTGGGAGGGTGTGGTGCGAGCGAAGGATTGGGAAAAAGTATCCGTTGATGAGATTTGAATTCTGTGATTCAACCAAATCGAATTCTGTCATTCAACCGTACACATGTACTTCCTGACGTATTTTCTTGTTCTTCGGATGTCTTAGGGGAAAAGAGTTATGGGACTGTTGGAGTCATTGCCGTTTCCCCTCTCTCAACAGTATTGGTGGCCAAAAGCGTGCTGTCACAATGACTCGATCTTTGCCTGCAGGCTCGCGATTCGGAATTGGGAATCACAAGGTTAACCCTCTCCCTTTTCTTTTCTTTTTCCCTCCCCCGCGCTGCTGCCTAACCCCCCCATAAAGTCGAGTTGCAGTCTTCTGGCTGGCCAGGCAATTCGACCGTCATCCTGCCGTCAGAGAGGTCATCGGATGCATCTGATGACGTGCCGGTATTCAGTGAAGGCTACGGAAAAGGCTTCCTAAAAGCCAGCACAACAGCTGACGCTGTTGAAAGACGAGGGGTCGGAAGCAAAGATCCATCATGGCACAAACAACTCATCTTGCTGGACTCGACTCTTTTGCTACTTTCCTCCTCCTATCTATCTATCTATCTATCTATCTATGTAGCTAGCTAGTTACGGTAACTACCTAGAAATGCTTTTGTTTAAGCAACAGAAATCACACCCTGGTGATCCAATCAGGTACTGCTGGCACCCCTCTTGTCTCATCAGATGATACTGTACCTGATGTCCTTTTGGATGTCCTCTCTCCTTCTTGCTTGCAAGTATCATATGTTTCGCGCTTGGCGTTCTCTCCTTGATCGTTTCTATTCTCAATCACTTCTTTTCTTTGCTCTTTTTGATTCTCTGTGCAAGACATGATTGTTAGTACGTATGATCCAGAACAATGTGCAAGGAAGCAAGGACGGAGCGATGGCTGACTACCTACGGTGCTCTTGCAAACTACAGTATTAGTACCCTGGCTGCCTCAGCTCAGAAGAGTGCTTGTCGATCCCAGCAGTCTGTTCCCTGTCACCCAAATCCGTTGCTCCTAATCTCTACCCCATCCAAGTTTCACAATTCCAATCTGACATCTTGCTGGCTAGCCAGCCAGAGACGTACTGTACGGTCGTGACGGCTGTGATGCCTCATCAGCCAGAGCTTGCCTCAAATTCGAGCCAAATTTGTCGGGTTGCCAACCTGTCGTCCGTTGTGCGCCCCGAGTTCTAATCCATCTGTCCTTCCTTCCGAACATTTTGTAGCAGGTAGCACGGGTAAACCTAATCCTTGATGGAAGCATTCATAGAAACATAAAGCTGAAAACTTAACCCTATCTTTACCTAAACTACCTGTATTTAGATGTCGTCCTGAAGCCGTACGGAAAGGTCACAGCAAGCGTAAAACTGGCACTTGGAGTCGACTGAGACTGGGCTGGAGGCTACAACCACCATGGTGACAGCCTTCGCTTGACAATACATGTAATAGTGCTGAAGTGATAAAGGAACAACCATCATCACAAAAGGGATTGTGCTCTATCTAGCTACTAGACTGGAATCACTGACAGTGAGTAGAGTATAGACATTGAACAGACTGACCATGGCACAAGTGCGCTTGTCGTCGAAAGAGCTGTCGCTGCAGTCGGCCGTGTCGATTGCTCTGTTGGGAGTCTTTCAAGACGACTACGATCACTGCGATCACGATTACGGGGTTGAAGTAGTAGAAGATGAAGACCATGACGACCACGATCACGACGATGAAGACGACGACGAAGAAGAAGATCATTCCGAGTACACCGAGTACAATGAAGAGTTTGAGAACGATCCGTTGGACATGACGACGACGAGTAAAATCGAACGCGAGTTACAGCACCAGAAAGAGAGCCGCAAGGAAAAGCGGGAGCGCAAACGCCTGGAACGTCTCGCGCAGTTGGAAGCGAAAAAGAAGAAACGAAAAGAAAAAAAGGCCGTCAAGAAAGCGAAAAAGGAATTGAAGAAAAAGGAAAAGAAGGAACGCAAAGTCCTCAAAAAGGAAGCCATGGCGCTCATTGGAGGACCCAAAGAAACGCGCAAGGAAAAGCGCGAACGCAAACGACGTGAACGCAAGGAAAAGCGATTGCTCAAGAAAGCCAAACGAGAAGCCAAACGCGCTGCCAAGAAACAAAAGAGAAAGGCCAAGAAGAAGAATCGAGGACCGGGTGTTCCTGATCTCACCGAAAATCCCGATGATCGAGAAGACTACGAAGATCTCACACAAGTTGGCGATGGCAACGGTGACAATCATCAGATGATTGATGCGCGCATGTGGAAGTCGGAAGGCTTTCTACACAGTGCCAGTGGAGATGACGATGATGATGATGACGACGACTATAGTGACGATGATGACTCGGACTCGGACAGCAGTGATAGTAGTAGCAGTAGCAGCAGTAGTGACGATTCCTACGATCCAGAGGCGTATGAACGGGAGCATGTGGGAGGATCCACCGACGAAGATGGTCATCCCAACACTACGTTTGATGACGATGAATCAGACGATGACACGGTCGCATCGCATCAGGCGGAAGAAGGAGAAGACGGAGAACCCAAAAAGAGAGATTCCAAAAAGAAAAAACGATTCAAACGAATATTCCGCAAGAAAAAGAGTGTCAAGGACAAGGAACACAAGGATGGAAAACACAGTGGTGGAGACAAAGAATCCGAGGATGGCGATCGACCCGCGCCTCCCAAATACACACGCTCGGCGGGAGAAGAACAACTCAAACAGACCATGTGGGCCGATACCATCAAGAAGGGCCGCAAGGGACCAAGACGGGGATCCAGTGCCATGTACTCTGATTTTACCGGTGCCGGGGAAGCCCCTGACAGTGCCGAGTTGGGATACGGACCGTCTCCCACCGAGCAGGATCTTGGTTACGGCGTAGCCGCCGCACCACCCACTCCTCAAGATTTGGGATATGGAGATCCCGGACCGGATCTGGGTTATGGAGACACGGGACAGCAGCAGCAGCAGCAACCGAATTTGGGATATGGAGAGGACCTGGGCTACAATTCCGATACACCCAACCCAACCCAACGTCCAGGAGAAGTCCGACGGCGGTGTTCCGTCACCAAGTACAACCTAGAGGCAAAACAGGCTGAAAGTGAAGCTCAAGCAGCCGAAGCGGAAGCACTCGCAGCGCAATTGGAAGCACAACGAAAACTGGAAGAACAGCAAAAACAACACCGGCAGTTTGAACCAGTGCAGCTGCAACCACGAGGAGATGGATATGATGATTCGGATTCGTATGCTGATTATTCGGGCAGTGATTGATTGATTACAGTATGGTGATGATAGTTAAATAGTGTTGTCAAATTTTTTGTAAATGGACAGGAGCCAAGGGAATTGAATGAATGTATGAATGATGTTGTTTCCACCAACACGATGTGGGATTTTTTACTAGTACGCGACAGAGGTGCGGCTGGTCTCGGGCGGCAACGTCCAAAGTGCGAACGAGACAGGAATTAGCTTCGGACGATCCTCAAAGGACTAAATTTTCGAAGAAAGTGAACTCTATGTACTGGACCCCATTTATGATACATCCACTATGGAGACCATCGTATCGCGCGACGAAACATTGATGCGTCATGGCTGGCTAGAATTTGCGAAATACATTTAGGCTTGAGGCATTTCATCCCCCGTTGCTGTACAAAAAACTATGTGTCCCATCGTCGTCTACGTTCGTGCTACCTGTAGCATCGCAGCACCAAAAAAATCACAAATACATAGCCTCGTTATCGCACCGCACTTCTAGTACAGGCTTCAAAAGAGCTCGAGTGACGGCGTATTGGGGAGGAATCACTTCGGCCAAACTCATGTCGCTCGACAAGGTCTCGGTTTGGTCCTGGCTGAGTGGTGTGTCGGAAATGTAATACAAAAAGCGCAGATTGACGTCGTCATTCAAGAGCCCGGCCTTTTTGTACCGTCGAAGCTCACGAGCATAGAAAGAGCCTTCCATTTCCAACGAAACACAGCCGTATAGCTTTTTGTAAAAGTTCAAGAGGCGCGAATCTTGCAAGAGCGTCCCCAACACGGTCAAGACGCCGCCGGAATGGACTTCTCGTTGACTCAACGTGTGCAGGGCCTCGCGATCCACGCCAGTGTTGTCAATCAAGGTTTGCTCGTCTCCATCTTGAAAGACCAAATAATCGGCCACGATGATATCTCCACGTCTGCCTTGCAACCCGCCTGCTTTGCCCATGACTCCAACCGATGCCACCGACTTGCCAAACAGCAACGAAAGTGACGAGATGAGTTGTTCCGCCTGTTTGCCAAAAGCATAGTCAATGTTGACCAGCAGCCTGGCCTGTTTGCTTCCGCACAGTTTTTTTGGTTCCTTCCAGCTCTTGGTTTCGGGGTCGTAATCGGGAAAGCAGGACGCCAAGAAGGGATCCGGTGCAATGTTGAGCTTGGCGTAGACAGCGTCGAGCGCATCCAGGTCCAAGAGTTCTACTTGAATTCCGGTCAACTCGGTACTGCGCAGCGTCTTGAAACAGGCACCATCCACTTCTTCTTGCTCCTGAATGGCCTTTTGTCCGTGATGCTTCATGTAAGCATTGCAGAGCGCACAAAACTTGTCCGAGTCTGACAAGACGTTGTGACCCATAATCTCTGGATGAGCCTTGCTTCCCCATTCGTAGATTTCTGCCTTTCGTTGCAGCAGGTAAGGTGAGAGCAAATTGCGGACGCTGGTGGTGTTGGAGGAGATGATGTGGGTCACAATTTCAGTGCGCAAGCAAAGATCCGATGGTTCTTCGCCAGTACTCCCTGGCTGCGTTCGATTGGCCGCTAACAAATCCAACACGGCCCGACGAATTCGTTCGGCCCACCGATCCGTGGCATCGACCGCTGCCGCCGTCAGATCCGATCGCACTTGAATGTTCTCGTGCAAACAAATGATATCCCAAATTCGATACAAAAAATCCTTGGGCCACAAGGCTTGCAAACCTTGTTGTTCCTCGGCCGTCAATGGTAGTTGCGCGAGTGCTTGCTTTTGTTCGGCAATGGATGCCGTGGCATAGGTGGACGACTGGCACCGATGGTATAACAGTTTTCGATCCCCGAGTGGAAAGGATGGTTCGAGGCGTCGTTCGGGTGCCCAGAGGCACCGGTGAATGACATCCAATGCCGACGGACGAACCAGTTTGGTGCGCAGCTTGGCACTTTCGTGCAAATGACAACAGAGGAGGGACACAAAGTCCAGCACATCCGAAAACTTTTCGCGCATGACCACGAGGAGTTTGCCATGATCCAGCGCAAACGCTTGTCGTCGTCGTGCCACAGTCTTGACAAAGACATCCTGTAGTCTGAAATGAGGATGCATAAATGGCATGGGGACATGATTCGAGAGCAAATAGGTGTAGGTGGACGTGATGGAATCTGGCAATCGCCTCACGGCATACGTCCATCCCTCCAAGTCGAGCAGCGATGAATGCAGATTGGCATGAATGGCAGGAACCATGCGTCGATAGCAGGCCAAAATGGCGGGCATGTCAAATTTGTCTTCTCCATCATGACTGACAGCTCGTCGCATCATGGCGACAAATGCTTCAATATCGGCAAAGATGCCACTACTGCGCAATCCGAGTGCCAATTTGAGTCGAAAGGCATGATGGTGGGCCAGTAGACTTTCAAAGCGTTCTCCGGACATGCGATAGACGACGACCTGAGAACCTCCCGCAATGACCTGGAAATCGCGTACTCCATCAAAGAGAGTGGCCCATTCTCCAAACATGGCGGGAGCATCGAGGTAACCAACAAACTTGGCGGAAGACCGTCCAATCAAGGAACTGTCGACCGACGGAGTGGAGGATCCCGAATTGCTGATACTGTCCGTGCTGTTGGTACTGCTGCTGATCATTCCATCTGCTAGATTCAACCGAACCAAGACCACTCGTTTCTTGGCCAGCACATAGACATCTCGATCACTCTGATTCTGATCTTGTCCTTGCTGCACAATGACTTCTCCATCTTGATATTCCAGCAAATGCAAATCCTTCACCAAGGCACGGATTTCCTGATTGGGCAAGTAGGAAAAGGGAGGGACGGTCGTCAATGTACGGTACGCTTCGAGTTGCACCGTGTCGGGAGCATCCGCCATGGGAGTTCCAGTTTTGCGTCGCACGTTTTCCAGCATGGATTTCAAGTGTTCTGCCATTTTCTGATTGACACTGGCCAAGTTGGAATTTTGCGCCAAGAGCGATGCTCGCAAGGAGGAATAATCTCCCGACATGGATCGACTCTTGTTGCGTTGATGATGATGATGACGGGATGGCGATGTCATGTAGGCCGCTGCCGCAGCGGCTTCTCCTTCTACGGCACTACTGTCCTTATTGCTGTTTTCGTCGTCTGTCGATGGCAAGAGTAGATCCGTGTCATCCCACGAGGGTGGAAGGGACGCGCGACGAGGCGTGTGGACGCCGACATTCGCTTGCTTCTTGGCAAAGGCAATGTAGGACGATGTTTCGTTGCTCATGGTGGTCTACCTACTATTGACTGTATCTCTCCAATGGCAATTGAGAAGTAAGCTATACAGCTCTATATAATGATGTCGCAAGGATTCAGAAGACACCACCACTTGTGATCTTTGAGAAGAGGACGAAAAAAGAAAGATTTGAGAAAGCCACAAAGATTCATTCGATCAATCAATTCGATCGAATCGAATGATGAACAATCGAATCGCTCTTCAGCCAGCGGAGCTATCTAGCCATCCAGCAAGAATCTTTTCGGAAATGCGATTTTCGCCGCTTACAGAGGCATCACCAATAAAGCACACACGATGATTGGTGGAATGCAACGTGTTGACCTCAGCCCCAGCTTTCCTACAAAGAGTACATTTCATTCCAGTTGGTTGAGAGTCCAGTCGGTTACATTGAGAGCTAGCTAGTAGCCATGGATCATCAAGATGGCAATACTATTCGGGAAGAAACTGGGAATGGACAAGCGGAAGGCGTGCGAGAGGATGCGGCCACGAACCAACACGCGGCGGCCGCCGTGGAAGCTGCTCCCCCTGGAGCCCAAGTGGAGATGATTAATAATGCCTCGTCCGATGCCGCCAATAATCGCTCTGTGCGATCGTCGGCTAGTAATAATAATGTGGGCTTGTCGTCGAATGCTTCGCATCAATCCATGTTGCGACAGCTGGCACATTCACCCACTGGCATGGCAGCAGCACGACCCGTCATTCCCAATCGTAACAACAACATCATGATGCCTGGAGGAGGAGGAGTCGCTCATCAGGAAGCGCTTCGTCAAGCCCAACAACAACCCGTGGCACAACAACAGCCCGTGCAACAACCACCACAACAACAGCAAATTCATGTACCGGTAGCAGCTGCAGCAGCTCCCAACAATAACAATATGAACAACAACAACAACATGAACAACAACAATGGAGATGACATGATGGTTCCAGAACGCGCTACGGAACAAGAGGCAGTCTATCATCCCTGTTCGTCCTCTGGAAGTGCCAGTAGTGGATGGTCTGTCGTCGAGACTTCCCAAGGTGGAGCTGGAGGAGCGCCTCCTTCGGCTCGTTCTCTCCATGCGGCAGCCCTGTTGAATGGAATCATGTATGTCTTTGGAGGTATGTATTTTATGCATGTATGCCCGTGGAAATGAAAATGAAAATAATGAGCAATGAGATCTTATTCTTATTTTCAACTTTTTCTGCCAAATATCTCAATTGTTCCAGGCTACGATGGCAGCGTTCGTGTCAACACATTTCATGCCTTTTCATTTGCGGAGAAACGATGGTCCCCAGTGCTTCCTTCGGCAAACTCGGCCGGTCCACCGTCTCCCCGTGATCGTCATGTTGCCGTCTCATTTGGGAATTCCTTTTATGTGCATGGAGGTAAGTTAACTAAGTTGGTTTTTTGGAATACAGCAACGGAAGATCAATCAGGTTTTTGGTTTGTTCATCTACCTGACATTACATGTTATTTGTGTTGTTGTTTTGTATGGTTAGGATTTGATGGAACTAGCCGAGTGGCGGATTTGTGGGCATTCGACTTCTCGTCTATGACTTGGAGGGAGATTGTGCCAATGCATGGAAGGCCACCCTCGCCAAGGCATTCTCATGCTGCAGTGGTGTATGGCAGTTCCATGTATGTCTTTGGTACGTACGAATAACACATACGGTATTGAGAGTGAAAGAAATTGTTGTCTTTAGACTTATCATGCTCTGTTTCTTCTGGGTTATCCATCCAATACTAGGCGGATACGATGGTTCGTACAAGTACGTTATCTCTATGTTTCGATGGTCAAATGCATGTATGTCTTTTTGTATCCTTATTCCTGATTATTGTAAAACAAACACGATACTATTGCTTTTTGGATACTAGGTCGGACCTGAACGAGTATGACTTTACAGAATCACGCTGGAGTGTCGTTCCAGCCGCCGGCAGACGACCCCGAGCTCGGTACCGGGCGACCTGTGTCGTATTTCGAAACACAATGATCTCGTATGGGGGTCATGACGGAACCAGGCATTTGTCCGACGCGCATTTGTTTGACTTTGACACACGCACATGGTCCACGTTGGTCACGGAAGGAACACCCCCCATTCCAAGGGATTCTCATGTCAGCGTGGTACATGGAAGCAGCATGTATTGCTTTGGTGGGAGCAGTGGTTCGGCCATGAATGATCTGCACGAATTGCAGCTCCCGTCCAGTCCCTCGGCTCCCGCAAAATGGTACGTACGTCGTTTGCTACCTGGCAAACCAACTGCCTCCATGCGGAGTTTGAACAGAGAAGAACTTTTTCTAATGTTCAGTGTCGTAACCTTTCATAGGCGCCCGGTGAAGATTTCGGGTGTGGATCAACCACGACATCGATTCTGTCACGTTGCAGTGAGCTACAATGAAGCCATGTTTGTCTTTGGTATGTCACGTTGCTTTACAACTTTGTCCTCCTTGGTGACAAGAAGGAATGGCTGCCTCTTACCGTGCGTTTTCTGAACTCGTCGAGCAGGCGGTTATGATGGATCAGAACGATTAAACGATTTCATCAGGTGAGTTCTATCTGCAACAGTTAGTTCGTTCTGTCCATGGAACGACAACGACCTGACTTGTTTGCTCTGCCGGCCGTGGTTTTGTGTTGTGTCATGTGACACAGATTTGACTTTGCCGTCTACGATTTGAGCTTTGAGGTTCCCAACTCCACCATCATTTCAGACTTTAGAGACCTGATCAACAATGAGACCCTCTCCGATGTCACTTTCTTAGTGGAGGAACAACCAGTGTATGCTCACAAGCTAATGCTGATGCGATCAGCTTACTTCAAGGCGTTGATTCTCGGCGAAATGAGGGAATCACGCCTTTCAACAATTCGCATCGAACAAGTATCGCATCATATCTTTTTATCAATTCTGGAATATCTATACACAGACCAGGTTCAAATCCCATTTGATTGTGCCATGGAGCTCTTTGAAGCAGCAGATCTCTTTTGCATCCCACGTTTGAAGACAATGTGTGAGAAACGAATGCTCCAGTCAATTGCCGTGGAAAACGCTGCTGCCATATTCCATGCAGCTGACATGCATTCTGCGCAGGCACTGCGTCAAAAGGCAAAGAAGTACATCCTCTCTCACTTTGAAGAGATATCGAAGACGTCCTGCTTTGAAGAAATGGGAAGAAGCAATATTGAGCTCGTATTCGAGCTACTCCAGAGCCGTTAGGTACGGACGGTATGCATTGTGGAGTCTTTAGCTTAGTTAAACATTGTATTTACCTACTCTGGCGGTGTTGGCAATGAATGGCTGGTTTGCTTTCGATTGGATAGATTCTATTCTATGCGGCCCTACGCATACCGGTATTGTGCGGCGTGGCTCCCGATTTGGCTCATTCGCAAACTCACTCCTAACACTACTCGACGACATGACAAGAGGATAGACACACGTTGATTGATTTGATATAATGGACCTGAGATGCTGAGCACCACCCACAGATAGTGTAGTGTAGTGTAGTAGTCGACGGAGCGGCGACAGCAGTGTTAGCTTTGATATAGAACAGCCACAACTGGCAGCTTTTCGCGCTTTTTGTGAAAGACTTTGTTGCCATGGTCGTCACTGCTGTTTGATCTGGAATTAACTGAGCGTCGGAAAGACGCAAGAATGCCTATATCTTGTCAACGGAGACGAGATCTTTCAACTGGTAAAATGAGACTTGTTGCCGTCGATCCTGTTGGCGTCGTCTCGTCTACAGCCATAGTTGCTGCCTCGATAGCTTCCAATGAGTCATCTTGAAGAGCCTGCAATCAATAGACTAGTGATCCTGTCCTTCCTTGACATCTTCGACGGTAAGACCAAGCCAAACGTCTCAAACGACAGCTGTAGCTATAGTGTTGAATACTGCTCTTCCTGTTCCACAAAGGAGTGTCGTGTGCTGTAGTAGATAATCCATCGTGGCGATTCGCTCATTGATTCATTAGTGGTACGGTACTAGCCTGCCAGTAGCCATTGTCGCAGTCGTCATTCAATACCAATGGAAATCTTCGTGTCGTTGAGGTCCTGGTCGCTCCGTGAAAGAGAAAGAGGCTCATTGTTGGTATTGATACCTAGTAGCCGCTACAGATGGCTGCTACGGGTAGCCGCTTGTTGCATTAGTGGTAGAGGCGCCATGGTCGCTCCGTGGAAGATGATCAGAGGGAAAAAACTGTGGCTGTGGCTGCGGAGCAACCATTGTCTTCTCTTCGATCGTTGGCGTCGATTCGTGGTCGCCCCGTGTCATCGAAGCCATTGTCATGCCGTTGTGGAACGGTGGAACCATCGTCATGATGGTCGAGTCAGACGAGCTGTCAGACAGTTTTCTGGTTTTCCTCGTGTTATTCGCAGATTCGCACATTCCCACGGAGTGAGTTGGAGTTGAGTAAAGTGGTTAAATCCTTTACATTAGGGGCAAACCCTCACAATTCTTTGAAATTCAATAACATTTATTTTTAAAATATGGCAGTTTCAAAAACTGGCAACACTGAAACGGTACTGGCAACACTGAAACGGTACTGGCAACGCTGAAACGGTACTGAGTACTGGCAACGCTGAAACGGTACTGGCAACGCTGAAACGGTACTGGCAACGCTGAAATGGGACTCAACTTGAAATTCACGATTTAAAAAAGTATTTTTGATGCCTAATAGTGGTCATTTTTACTCAATAAGTCTTTATCAAGACAAACAGTTCTGGTATTAAAGAACCAAACACGTACTGTATGACCTCTCCAATAAAGTTATTTATTTATGGTGCCAGTTCTCTTTCTGAAGCATTACCGGTAGAAGCTGAATCAGGAAAAATACATTCAAGTCAACTTACTTTTTGCGCTCACATTTTCAAGCGATTTACACCGTCGAGTCATTGAAAGTCCTGAAAATTAGGCGATTTTCCGAACCCAATGATTCAGTTGGCAACACCTGTCGGTAACTCACGGGGAGCTCATTGAAGGGATTGATTCGAGAGGCTTAAAAGTGGGGCCATTAGAAAATACATCCCTTGTTTGGTCAGTGCGCATCTCACCTTGTTTTTTGGAAGCCTTCCAGTGAAGGTTTCGTTGGCTCCAGTAAGCTACCTCCACAATGGCGATTTCCCCACAAACCAACCCACTACCAGCACCATGGCGATTCCGGAAGACTAAGAAAGTGTAGCTTTAAAGCAAGTTAGTTCTGTTAATAGGGAGTGAATAGGGTGTGAGGTGGGGTGTGAGTTGAAGGTGAGTTCACCCCAGTGGAGAGTGCAGAGCAGTGCAAGAGCAACGCACTTGCACCAAAACACTGCACCTTTTGCCGCCTAGACTACCCATCATGGTCAATCTATCCGTCGACTACAAGAAGTACATGTAGCGATCTTATTATTGGAATCAGTCGATCGAGTCGGCCGAAAGCTGAAACGACTGCATTTTAATAATGTCCACAATATTTACGTTCTGAGCACGTTCCTCTAAGTCATTCCTCCACATCTGTAGGCCTCGCGACTTGTGGCAGGGCGACTTCCGAGAATTTTCGTCGGTACCGCCACCGCGTGCACAAACAGCTGAGATGCATGTGACCTTCAAGGGGGCTGGAGGCTCGAGGATCGAGGGGGTTTTGAGAAATTGCGCAAGTTTTCTGCCGTACCGAATAGTCGCTGCTATTTTTGTCCTCTGTTCCATGGTTTCGTTTCAGAGAAACGAGCCACTTTGCTATATATGATTTAGTCAAGAACCAAGGCAACTACTGTGAGGCCTGAGATGTCCGATCATGATGCTGACAAGCCAAACTTGGCGACTGTGCCATTGCAAATGACCGAACAATCTGGTGTCGAGTTAATTGAAGTCACGGTGCTTTCGTCGTTGTTGACTCAGTCCACAGCTAATACTGATGACTTCAGCTCTGACCAAACTGCTACGGGCTCTGTTGAACTTGCCCGCATTCAAAACAAAAGAACCAACAACAGAGAATTAGAAGGCAATGCAGGAGCTGCCGAAGCAGGCGCGTTTGCTCCGAATCTGTTCCAGCAGCTGTTCGAGCTACCAGAACCTATCCCAACAAGGCACACACAAAGAAGTATCCCAGGGGCATTTCATATGGATGGTTTCCCAACCTATCGTCAGAACACCCAAAGGGATGAAGTTGCTACTACAGAGAACCGGCAGAGCCAGGATGGCAGCATTTCAACCAATCTTCCTGTTGCCAGTGATGTTGATGTGCAGGACACAGATCCATTGCCCAGTGCTGAAGTATTTTTCGAAAGAAGAACACCTTACTGGCGACAACGATTGTGTCTTGGTTTTTCTCTAGAGCTCAATGCGGTTCTGTTAGGAATTTTCATATTTTTCGTGGTCTTCCTCATCAGTACAGATGGAAGAACCAGTACCACCAGTGAATCAAGTCAAAGCAATAATAAAGGGGCACTCCATATTCCTGCTGCAGCTCCAGGTTCAACCCAAGCACCAACTCCATTTTTGGACGCACTCAATCTACCTGACTACACCGTGGATGCCATTATGGAATACCCAAAGTCCCCTCAGTCCCAGGCCTATGAGTGGCTAGTCAGCAACAAAACTAATCTTGCAACACTTCCAAAATGGAGAATGACCCAACTATTTGCTTTGGCTACCTTCTTCTTTTCCACCAGGGGAGAGTTTTGGGTAAATCATCACGGCTGGCTAGACTGTGAAGTTCATGAGTGCAGCTGGGAACAGCAACCTTTAAATCCAACAACTTATTTTCCTGAAATGCAATGTGATGATTCTGGGCGTATAAAAGGTTTGACCTTTGTTGGAAACAAGCTGGATGGAACCATTCCACCAGAGCTATCCCTTTTGAGTGCAGATCTGGAGCTTCTGGAATTGGCAGTGAACATGGAATTGAAAGGACGGATCCCAACGGAAATCGGATTGCTAACAAAGCTGAAAGTTGTTCGAACATTCAACACAGAACTTTCAGGAACAATTCCTACAGAGCTGGGTCTTCTGTCAGATTTGAGGAATCTTGAGCTGGGGGGTGCTGGAATAAGTGGAACTGTTCCTACGGAACTGGGCAACTTAGGTTGCCTAACAAGCCTATTGGTGGTCATGACCCAGCTGACAGGTACGCTTTCTACTGTATGCGTGCTGCAAGTAAGCACGCTTTTGTCATCACTAATATGCTGGACATTGTATACCATTACCATGCAGGCACAGTCCCTTCAGAACTATTCAAACTAGCAAACTTGACAGCTGTTGGAATACGTGATTGCCCTCGACTAGCCTCCGACAAACTTCTGCCCAAACTTGTTGAAAACATGCCTCAACTTGACTTTCTAATGCTAACCAACATGGCTGACGATGCCAATGCCCGAATACCCAGTAAGTCATCTTTTGCTGTACCAGAAAATGCATCTAGATGTCACTAATCTCTGCGCACCAAGCTGAAATTGCAAGGTTGTCCAATCTTATGATATTGTTCCTTGAAGATTGGAACCTTCGACGATCGATGCCAAGCCAACTTGGGCAAATGACACAGCTAGTAAGTAAACCTGTCAGATAGATTGGAGCTATCGCTAGCAAGTGACTAAGAAGATATGCTGACAGGTCTTTGCTCCCTTGATATTTTTCTTAGGCGTCTCTAAACCTACAGGAGAATTCTCTTTCAGGAAGCCTTCCACTAGAATTATCAAAGCTGAGCAGTAAGTCATCAAGTCAGGGATGTGTTGACAAAATCTTTAACTTTGTTCACCATACTCTTTTATGCAGACTTGACTTCGCTAGACGTGAGTTCCAACCAGCTAGAGGACAAGCTCCCACCAGACTTGTTTTTAAGCCTGACTAAATTGAATTGGCTACACATGAATGGGAATAGATTCACTGGGACCATTCCAAGTGAGATTGGTCTCATGTCCGGCCTTCAGCATGTACAACTGCACGAAACAGGCTTGTCTGGAACTCTACCCACAGAGCTCCTTGCCTTGACCAATTTGAGAACCTTAATGGTTACCAATACATCCTTGTCTGGGAGGATCCCCGATGAGCTGTGTGGCATGATGCTTGGTTATGAAAGGGAATGTCATGAAGCTCATGGCTGCACTGGCAAAAAGACCACCACAAATGTGTGCCAAGGCACTTTACTTTGTGGATGCAGCTGTGATCCATGCTGATGATTGCAATGCTACTGGTAGCTAGCTAGCTAGCTAGCTAGAAGCCAGCTTCGGTAGATCCCTACTCTAAACCCCGATATCCAGCTTCGATTGGTTGCTAGCTAGGTAGGTAGGCAGAACTGGTAGCTGGACAGAGTTACGACGCCGTGCACAAGTCAATCCCACAATGTCATTTCCTTCCAAAATTTTTCCCAGCGTACTAGTACCCACTAGAAAAAAGAACGCACACTTTTCCTTTTTCGGTCCGTCCTTTGTCCAGGTTTCACGACCGCCACCAGTCAGCCGCGGTCGACATTCCCATAACTTGCTGTCTGTTCCCTTGTAAGAGGTAAGACTTGACCATGACGATTTTGTTGCGCTCTTTGGGATGTCGACGGGTGTTGTGGATGCGACGCGGACAGTGTGCTGTTGCAGTAGTGCTGCGCAGAGAAGAAGAAGCGAAAGAGGAGGAAGTTTCGATGAGTTGAGGGCTCGTTCGCTTCCGATCGTGAATTTCTACATGGCTGCGGTACCTGTGGTCGCTCGTTGGGTTGCGCTTCCGCCTTTTTCCTGTCGACGCCATCTCTCCTGTGGCAACATCTCAACACCTCTGATGCGGTCGTTCAGACTCCCGCTCGAGCGATTGCCTTGTTGCCATCGTCGAAAATTGAATCGACACGCTGACTTACTCGTTTACTAACATTTTGTACTGACTTCTTTTTTTCCGACTCGACAGGTTAGAGCAACCAAGTTTGGACAACAACCAGAAGAAAGAGAAGAAAATATGCAGATTTTTGTGGGTGATTCGGCTTATGTGGTCGACGCCGCGGCTTCGGTCGAGAGCTTCAAGCTCATGGTCGAGAACCGCGAGTTTATTCCCGCTGGTCAGTTCCGTTTGGTTCGTGGCGGCGACGTCTTGGAAGGTGGATCCCTCGAGGCTAACGGTGTTTCGGACGATGATGAACTCACCATGATGCTCGAGGTTCCCGCCGGTATGCGTCGCAAGTGGCGTAAGAAGCGCATGCGCCGTCTTCGTCGCAAGCGCCGCAAGATGCGTCAACGTGCCCGTTAAGAATGGAAGAGTGTGTGAGAAAGGAGGTTTTCTCCCTTTGAAAGGCGTTTGGATGAAGGGTTCCTCCTTGTGGAAAAACATGTTCCAGGAAGGGAATTGCTCGGCGGTGTTTCTTTATTATTCATAGAATAGAATGATTGCTAACGGGTAATTTCATTTTTGGGATGCAACTCTTCCTTTTTTCTTTTCTAGCTTGTCTAGTCTTGTTCGTTTACGCTTGGCTCTCCAATAGGCTGATTGTGCGCCCAGGATGGAGCCGTAACACGAGGGCACAACCCAAAACTCGGTCGATGACCTGAATTTCCTACTCACAGCATAATAGCCTCATCCGTATCAGCCATCCTGCTCATTATTTATTTGGAATGATATCAAGCACCACGGAGCCTCACGTTCCGTGCTTTGCAAGGACAGTCACATCCAGCCATTCTCATGGAACCAAACCGGTACTAGCTAGTATCTCAATTGCCCTTGTGAAAGCTACCCAAACCCTTTGCCCCCCGTAATGGTCCTCAGGCGAGCAACAAAACGTTCAGCAACTTGTGACGGTTTTGAACAAAACTATAAAAGACCAACCTCAGGAGCGGCCCCTGCATGACGGCCTGGGAAATCCCATCCGAAGGGGAATACTATAAAGGACAACATAGTCTAATTGCAAGAGCAGCGGACAAATGAATCTTCATGGCTGATGTGGCTATTGGCGCAAGAAGGGGTGAAAATGCTGGGCAAGAAATGCATTTGATACTGCTGTTTGCCTTGGCTGAGTACTGTACCGGTACGAGCACAAAAACAAATTTCTTATTTTCTAGTAGCTAATAAAGTAGTCAAGTGGGGATATCTCCAACACCTCCACTGGCTGGGGTGGAACAGGCAGGGCACTGATGCTTCCAAGGTTGACATACTCCAATCGAACGTAAATAAGCTCCAAGCATGTATGTTCGCTGCTGGTTTGTCCAGCATCGTTGGTGCATGACTGCGGGCCCCTCTCTCAATCGCTGGCTTTAACACTTGGAACAATAGGAAAGGTTCCATACTAAATTCTACGTACACACGGAATATCCCGTTGCTACTTTTTCAAACGAGTTTCATTCTTTCAAACTACGATTGCTGTACTTTCTCTACATCATGTCTATTGTATTAGATTAGATGCAAACTGTATTGCCTTGTACAAGATCCTTGCTCCGAGTTGTCTTTAATATTGGAACCTTTGGAGCGAGGACTTTTCCCTTGAGTTTGCCCAACAATGCCGCCGTTGGACTGCTACTGGTGCCGGTACTGTGGGGCGATGATGGAGGACTGGCGAGACGTTGGAGCGTCCTTGGACTGCAAGTTTTAATGACCCTAGGACTGGGGCTCTTGGATCGAGTAGTGATGCGGATTCGGGTGGGTGATGCGGATCGGTTTCGTCCTCGTCGTCCAGTAGTGTTAATAGTAGTTGGGGCGGTGGGTGCCGACACGGGACGCCGCAAAGGAGACGAAGATCTGGATCTCGTGGTGCGGTTGCTGACTTTGGTAGTCCTAGTGGAATGTCTGCAATCATGGAGTTGGTTTTCTCTTGGAGTAATGTTTTCCTCATGGTTGCAAAAGGAGTCCATTCCTTTTGGAGTGTCCCAGGAACTTCTAGCTGCCGTTTGTTGAAGGAATTTGGTAGTCTGACTGGAGAGATTTTCGGATTTGCTGAATCGTATGCGAGAATCCAGTGACAAGGTTTTGTGGATTGCTGTAGTAGAGTTTGGTGGAAGCACAATGGACGAGGACAAGTTCATTTCCGGATGAAAGCTGATATCACCGTCATCTGGATCATTTTTGTTCTGTAGCAAGTGAATCTTTCTTGCCATTTCCTTGTTCTTGTGAGCCACCATTTGGGTCAAGGGCAGGTAGCAAGCAGGACACACCGTGTAGTCTTGCCTTGTCCAGTTGATAAAGGTGGACTTATCCATCACATGACGACAGGGTGCACTAATGGTAACTGGACAGGACATGATCTCTCGAGATACTGGGTCCAACGCCCAATCAGGGATTTCGTCGTGGGTTTCGTTCATTGTCGTCTCTCTTCTCATGATTCTCTAATGTTGTAACTTTAGTTGGCTTGGATGCTTTGTCGGATCACTGAATGCTGGGGATATGCGATAGTTGGAGGGAAAGGGTAACTAGAGAAAAACAAACTTGGTAACTTTCATCGTTGCTCGTTTGCGGATCTGCAGCATGAATGCATGAATGAGGCTAGATTTTTGCGGGAGTGGTCTAGCTGATGACTGCAAAATCAAGCTTTGCAGGAAACACAGGCCTGTTGCTCCTAAGTCCCAGTTCACTAAAGACGCCATGGATACTTATTCCGCTGCTATCAGTCATGCTTGCCAGGACCAACATTCCAACATCGGCGCAGTCACGGAAAACACTCCCCACCAAGGTTTCGCACAGCCGAACTGTAACAACGCTGCCAACGAACCTGGCTGGATGGAAGTAAGTTAAACCTCTTGGCTTTGTGACATCCAGGTTGATTTCATGGCTGGGATAGGCCAGCTTGACAAAAGCGGTCGCCAGGTCGCATCCAGGGACGAATAGTGTCAAGATTGCGACAAGATAGTAGCTACCAGTCATCAGCCCGTGTTGGGATTTCTGACCGGCAGCTTTGCATGCACGTGGCCGCCACGATGAGGGACAAGATTGCGTGTTGATCAACTCCAATGATCTTGTGGACTTTAGCAATGACGCAAATGCCTACATCCTTACTACCAAAAAGAAGGGCGTTGGCGTCATCTTGACTACAGTACTCGCAAAAACCGTGTTTAGGGATCAGATTCCACGCTTAATTACTTCTTGTTCGTTTAGGGTTAGTCCACGCCGAGGATATCGCATCCTTCCTCACCACAGGTCCGTACTAGCGTACAGTGACGAAACAAAGCCCAATGGCTTTGGACGGATCTCTGGCCAGGCAGGACAGTGCCGAGAATGATTCAATCAAGAACATGCTTAGCAACCATACGGTTTTAGCAAAGAGTGAAAGACTTCGTCGCTAATCATAAACAAACTAAGGAATCTCTTTCTCGTTCCACAATGATGTACGTGGTGGCTAAACATGGATGCGCTCAAACACCCACAGAGCTCTCATCTCTCTCTCTCTCTCTCTCTCTTTCTTCTCCAATGACTCCACCCAGGAGGAGACTCGAGTGGAGTCACAGTCGTCACTCCTCTGTACTTCCTTCACACACGGTATGCGCTATCCTCCTCAGAGCCAGCTCTCTGAAACGTCACGGCCAGTGGTATCCGTGGTGGAGGCTGTTCTTTCCGATTCATCTGCATGCATGGTGCCACCCTTTGACTGCGCCTCTCTCATGTAGTTCTTCGCAACCTTGTGCAAGGCTTCCAAGTCCTCTCTAGTTCGGAGCGAGAAAATCACAGATTTCCTTGTGCTGTGCTTGCAGGATAGCTTCAGCTGGGTCTGATTGCTTTGCTTGGCAGCCATGAGGCACTTCTGCACAGACGACCATTGCCAAGAATAGCAAGCGCTGCCTTTGGGTTTGAAGGAGAACCCATCAGAAGTCAACCGGAGCTTGCCTTGTTGGCCACGCCAGACAATGTTGCGGAAGACCTGCCCTGGCTCGTTTCTTGTCGATTCCCTGCGGTTGTTCTTCTCGCCTACAACAACAAATCAACAGTCTTCAGCATTCCTTTACCAAGTTTGTTCAAACGCCGCCGCACTCAAAGATTCACCGGGCTGCACTCCAGTAGCGGTTGGCCTCACCGACAGACTCACACTCACCTTTCTCTTCTCCAAAGACTCCATCAAAAAGAGTCTCTACGTTCTTTCCGTCCACAACGATACCTTCCTCCTCCAGCGATCGGTGAAAATCTTCAAGCAGCACAGCCTTAAGGTCCTCAGTGAGCTTTTCCTCTTCGGTACTCTCCTCCTTCTTCTCCTCCCCACCTTCACCTACGATTGATGTGTTTCCTGCATCTTTCTCCTCTTCGTTGGGCGTTGACATTGCATGTTCCAGAACATTCACTGTTTCTGTTGTCTCCTGGGTTGAAACTTCAGTTGCAGCACAAAAGCAACGGCTGCACATTGAGAATCGTCGCGACATTTTATCCTTCTGGATGCAAAAGCGAGCTGTATCAGTTCTAGACGCCTCCACGGAGCGACCAGAATCAAGGCACATGTCACACAAACCCGGAGGCAGCAAAGTGAGTTTTTTCACAGCATCCGATGAAAAGAGTTGCTCCTCAGACAACGGCAGACCAAGTCTTCCAATGGGGAAGTGATCGTTCAACACCATCCTCTGCAGCTCAAGCAGCTCTGATTTCTCTTTGAGATCCCCGCCGCTACTGGGCGCTGCCGGGAGCAGAAGGCCTGGTTGCTGGGAGAACTCACGGAACCAGACCTTGTCCGTTGCCGTGTTTTCGCTGCAGCTGTACCCACCGACAATCATCAGCGATCCTTTCGAAGCAACGCATCCGGTGAGAATGTATGAATCCGGCGTAGCACCCATTGATAGCCAGCGAAGACTTCGCCAGAACTTCGCTTGTGTCAAGTCGGCGTCGGCAGTAATCTTCAGCCCCACGCAAAAGTTTCCAAGCAACGAGGGGCCTGCGGCTAAGATCCAGCTTTCTGGCCTACCGCTCGCTGCATCGGAAACGTAACAAATCATGGGATCGCCCAACTCCATGGGAAGATCAGGGCCACGAAACCAAGAAGAAGCTGGGGCCTCTGCGGTGTCGCTGCCTGCTTCCAGCCAAGGTTTTAAATCCAAAACCCACGACTGCTTCAACTGTTTCTCCCCCTGGCCAATACCACCAAAGACCACGGCATATCTCTCCCTTACCAAAACACTGCTGCCTCCTCGGAATGCAACCGGCAACCGCGGGCCCTCTTTCCACATGCTCTGTTCAAAGTCATAGATATCACATTGGGCTACTCCTGGGGTGCCTTTTCGAGAAGTACCTCCAAAGATAAAGAGCTTCGTCCCGAGAGCGATCATGTGGTGGCCGGTACGGTGAATCGGCATGATTGGAACCCTACTCCGCTGAATTGGTGCAGACTGTGTAGCTTCTGGTACAATACCTACTTGAGTCATGCTTTCTCAAATTTTCCTGGACACCACATGTAATCAATCGCGATGGCATGACTAGTCAACGCTCACAATTTCAGTACATTCTCTACTTGAATCATGCTTCCTTGAGAATTCGGAAGGCTTTTGGTGACAACATGACTAGTCAACGCTCACATTTTCGATATTAAGAAAATTCTTGCAAAATTTGGATAGGTGTGCATCCCTCCGTGTCAATGTGCATCCCTTGGATTCAGCGTTGGATCGATTCGTACGAAACTGTGGAATAAACCGTATCTTTTAGCTAAAATAGAGATGGTTCAATTTCTGAAATAATTGCTATGGTATTATATGGTTGTAAGAGAATTGGAACAACAACCTTTTATGCTAGCTATCCGGGTTGTTAGCCAACGGAAGACAAAGAGAGAGGAAACTGACGCACGAAAGAAATGGACGCACGAAAAGAAAATCGAGTGTACTCCTTCGAATTCATTTCAGCCTCAGTTTCCACACAAAATTGATTGGAGATACTTCGAAACAGCGAAAGCTATGTTTCAACCTTGCAATGACCGACCATGAGAATTGCCGTCCAGCCGACCAATCGACCATGAGCATCTACCGTCCGTACCCTTGCCCTCCGTACCCATGACCAATATGATCAGGCGGAGGCATATTGCCATGAGGCCCCGGGGAATGTCCACGAGAATGATCCGGTGGGGGCATATGACCTGAGGGAGGAACTGGGGAACGAACACGCTGAACCGGTGGAGGCCCATGAAGATATCCATGATGACCCGTTGGAGGCCCCCGGTACGACCAAGAACCATGATCCGGTGGAGGACCAACTGGAGCCCCACGGTACGACCAAGAACCATGATCCGGTGGAGGTCCAGCTGGAGGCCCACGATAAGACCAACTTTGATCCGGTGGAGGACCAGCTGGAGGCCCCCGGTACGACCAAGAACCATGATCCGGTGGAGGGCCGGCTGGAGGCCCATGGTACGACCAACCTTGATCTGGTGGAGGTCCAGCAGGTTGTTGACCATATGAAGGATATCCAGTGGCATAGTATGGATCCGGATCAGGGTATCGGGACTGATATGGCTGATGATGATATCGCTGCGGGGGATAGGAATGCTGAGCTGGATACGACGAAGCTGCATACTGTGGACACGGCTGTGGTGCTGGATACTGATGACCATGCGGCACGGCAACAACATTTGGAGGAGCATCATTCAATGGTGGCCCGGCAACGGGAGGTGGCTTCTGCTGTTGCAATTGGCGCTCCTTCTCTGCCAATAGCGCACGGAGACTTTCGATTTCATCATTCGAGTTGACAGCAGTGGACGACGATCGAGCAGCAGGTTTGGAATCCTCCATTTGGACATCCTTCACATTTTGTCGCTGCATGACTTTTCCAAGTTTGATTGCATTGAGCTGATTGCCGACGCGCTCATTGGTCAGTTCATTGACATAATGTTCTTGAACCGTCTTGCTGGATTGACGAGCCATGTTGGCCACTTCAGTTGCATTGAGACCACCAGAGATTCCTGACGAGATGTTCATAGCCCGCAACGCATGGCCAGTACAGGCATCAAAGTCGTCAACTCCAATCTTTTCGGCAAGATTCTTCAACCACTTGGTGATACTGCGTGGACCAACATTGTGATTTCCTTCCTTGAAACCACCGGGCTGGAACCAGACCTCACGTCGTTCACCATCCAAGAGACCATGTTTCCGGGTCACGGCATCACTGATTTTCTGGCGTTTGTCCTGGCTAAGGATGTACCGCGAATAGAATGCTTTTGCTTCAGGGTGAGAGTGTTTGACTATGAGTTTGTAAAACTCGACTGGATTCCAACCTTTGATCTCTGATTCCGCGGGGATGTACAGCTCGGTCCGCTGGTTTGGCTTGATGGTGGGATTGTTGATGCTCAAGCGCTTTGCCTTCTTACCAAAAATGGCAATCTTGACATATTCGGTTCCTTCAAGCTCAGGTCCGAAAGTATTGTCGAAGAAGTGAAAGCTGATGTCGCTATGATTCAGCAATACGTGATCTTCTCCACCTCGGAAGGCAGCGTAATACCCATTGCAGAAAGCAACCACCATGAGCAAGTCATCAATGTTGTTGAGCGGATCAAGCAAACCAGACTGAATCGCCTTCATCAAGAGAGGAAGATATTCTTCAGGAGCACGCTTCTTGTTGGGTGCGGCACCGTACGAGGAATCCTTCTTTTGCTCCTCCTGCATCTTGTCCGTGATGATACCACCAAACTCCCCAACGCCCTTGAACTCCTTGATCTCAAAGAAGATGTTGCGCTCACGGAGTTTGACGAGTAGATTCCGAAGCGTCTTCAAGAGCGACGAAGGTTGCATTTCGTCTCCAATTTGACCCCCAATTGGACCCGACGACAGCTTCTTCCATTTGAGACCGCAATGAATCATGAAACGGTTCATGATGTTGTACTTGGCGGGAGTCCGTTCTCCTTCGAGATAGTCGTACAGGGCAAGGTCGAGTGTCGAAAAATCCCCTTTGGCTTGAAGGTATCGGCAATTGACCATCTGGAGCATCGGTTTGACCCAAGGTTGATCAATCTCGCGAACTGTCTGTTCAAATCGATTCACCGCATGCACCTTGCGCGCTTCAGTCTCCTTGGTATTGGATCCTCTCTTGCAGTTGTCTACAAGATCCTGATCGTCTCCAAATTCGTCCTTGGATTCGTTCATCATTTTGCAAATGGAATCCATCATGTCATTTTCATCTTGAGTGAACGCGGGCAGTGCGATTTCATCAATGGCTGGGACTGGTGGCGGTGGAGCCTTGCTGGATCGAGATCGAGTAGTGGGAAGGGGACGAGGAACAGACTTGAGCTTCTTTTGGTAAGGGTTGGGTTGCGGTTTCTTGGCGGCGCCTGACACAAAAGGATGGTTTTGACGGTGGTGAGGCGGATGAGGCAAGACGGCACCAGCATTTCCTACGAGTGGACAACCAGTTCCTTCATGGGTGGTGCGACGGGGCGATTTCTTCGATTTGCCTCTTTTGCGTTTGCTACCACGAGATCCAACGGTGGGTGCAAAAGAGTAATGATCGTCATCCCCATCCTGTCCCTCGTCCCGCTCTGGTTCCATCAAAACTGGCGTGTCGTCTACTGGATCTTGAGGATCGTCTTGTGGTTCCGTGTCGAAATTGGTGATACATTCACCCGTTTCGCCAAAAGCTCGATCTTGTTTTTCCCAACGATCATCAAACGAATGAAGGGCGGCGGCACGGTTTGACTCTTGTTGCTCTTGGTGCGCCGATCGAAGTCTCATTTTCCGCGCTTGCTTTGGATCAGCTGGGAGCGGCGGTGGTGGATTTGCTGCCGCTGCGGCTGGAGGTCGAAGTTGGAGTAGGAGGCTGGCATTTTCGAATTGCGAGCAAGTGGGGTGGTTTTCCTTGTCGGAGGTGTCGTCTGGAGAATCGGCAGAGGACTGAGCGAGTTGCAAGGGAGAGCCATCTTCGCTTCCAGAGCCTTGGTCGTCTTCATCCTCGCTAGAATCGGATTGAGAGGGTAACATCAATTGCTCACTCTGATCGTCTTCAGCTGCGGCGGAAGAAGCTGAATTACTCTGCAAGGTGAGTTCACCAGTGGCTTGACTCCAGTGTACAGTGCCATGACTGTTGTGTTGAGTAAACTCCACAATCTCTTCGTCATCTTCGGCCCCATCAATTTCTTCCTGTACCGCCAACAATGCTCTTTCATTGCCATTGGCAGTGGCTTCTGCTATTGAGGCAATCTGGGAGAAGAGAGATCGACCAGTTCCTTGGAAGGACCCTTTGGAGCGAGTGGAGCGACCAGTTGACATGGTGACCTGCTGACAAAGAGGCGGTACAGTACCACTGACGTGAGCAAAGACGACACTGACACTGACCGAACCCAAGGAAAGACTCGACTCCACTCGACTCTCACTCACCACCAACAAATCTCTGACGCGAACACTCCACAGGATCAAGGGCCGTAGCAAGATGGAAAGAACTAAGACACCGCAAAGATTGACGGCTGGAAGACACCGCGGACTGGAGATGGCGTGACCTTTTGACTGGTAAAGACGGCACCGTGACAGTTGCGTGATGTTGTGGCTGTTCAATGGCGTCCGATCAAGGTTTGCTGCAGTTGGATTTGGCGCCTAGCGTCGGCTTCAAACTCAAAATGTGAGCTAAAAATATCTTTATTTAGAAGCTCCAATTGGTTACTTAAGGTTGTCAGCGTCAGCTGGGTTCCAACACTAACACGTCTCCGCTGGTGGAGTCTCGCTGTCACTTAGATCTCGCCTGGCCGGTCTCGCGCGTTCCGAGCCTTCGGCTCTCCTTTACCGCTCTCGCCCGTCCAGTCTCGCTCTAAGTGCCATCTCGCCTCTTCACCAGAGGAGACGTGTTCCTGTATAGCCCTTGTGTCACGATGTTGTCGGCGAGATTCACGATTTCTATCGAGGACAAAGACGCCGCGTCCTTGCCCGCGACGGTAGTTCCCTTCCCCCCGCTGACGATGATATGGGATGACCCATAGAGACAAGCTGCGTGGTTTCGTCGAGCCTCGTTGAGTTGCATCGCCGCGCTCCAAGATGAGGTATGGGACAAAGGCAAGTATGCAACATAGATGTCCTTGGTGCAAGTTGTGTAGGCGTTCTGCGCGACGTCTTCCTCGCCTGTGGCTCCGCTGACAACATACACACGATCCTCGGTGGCCAGCGAAACAGAGGCAACAATCGGCGTGGGCAACGGGAGTGTCGCGCTCCAAGGGTCTAACGTCGAGTTCACCTTTAACGTTGACCCTGCAAGCCGAAGAAACTGCTTCTGCGTCCTGTGCTGACATGGACCCCATACAGCGTTGCACTCGGAACACTTGGTCCGGAGGAGAGTGGCCGATGATCTGGTTTCATCGAACCCAAAAGAGATGCACATAGGGTTTTCGGTCAAGTACCGCTCCACATTCTCTCCCAAGCTCAAAGCAGTGCCAGCAATAAGGTCGTTGGCTGTCGCGTTGTGCGCTTGGGATCTGGAGTTGAGCATGTCGAACAACACCCAGCGAGGGGCTCTAATGGTGATTGTCGTAGTTAACGAGCCGACCTCTTTCTGCAGTGCAAGTGCCGACGCAAAGCGCTCAACAGCGACTTCGGCCATTTCACGCAAATGGAACAATGCACCAACCGAGAAACGAAGGCTCTTGGCATTCTTATCGCTTTGACCTTCTTGCAGAAGATTCCGCAAGGCCAAAAGACCAACGAACCCGAGATCCTTCTCGTTTGTACAGCGTTGCCCGTGTTCTGAGCAATTAGATCATCGATCCAGGTAGCGTTGAGATGGGCACTGATGCAAGCAAATCCGAACATGCATAACACTAGATCATCTTACCTTCCAAACAGCTCTTGGCCAACTCATAGAGGTCCACCGTAACCTTCCTTTCACAGATATCATCATCGCCCGCTGGGCTCTCTTCCGCGGCAACAGGAGTGACGTTGCAAGCCTCGCAAGCTGCCTTCCAAGCGTCCTCCGTCGGATCCGCGGATGGATTCTTGTTTTCGGAGGCACAAGGCAAGGAGCACTTCATGCAGAGATCATAATCGCACATGCTACAGGAGGTGTGTACTTGGCCCTTTTGGATCACTTGCTTTTGAGAGCATTCTTTGGCATCGCAACGTCTGGGGTTGTTGTGGGCAATGGAGGGCCTCAAGCAATGTCCATTGGGGCATGAGATTGCCTTGTGGCATCCATCACCGTCGCTCTTGCTGCCGCTCTGCACCGGTGCGCTTAGCAACGCTTCGAATTTCTCGGCTCGCTCCTTCTGTTTCCATTCCGCATCACTATGAAGTCCACATTGGATACCAACATCCGGAAGGCATTGGTTGCAATTGGCAGGCGCCTGCACGCCCAACCCCGCATCTCGACAGGACATTGCAAAAACGGCAGCGTGCAGCTCTTGAATCATGGACGCCATTGCTTGCTTCATCGGCGCAGGTGGGGTGCTCTGGTGATGGTTGGATCGACGAATCGCGTACATGGTTTGGCAAAGATCGGGAATCGTCTTTGCGCCAGCTTTCGGGAAGCCCAGCCACCCAGCCTTTGCGGTCCCCAACGTTGTTTTTTGCGTGTCAATGAAAGTTTTGCGCACCATGTCTTGGGTTCGTTGCTGTTTCATTTGCACCTGCAGGAATTTGGCCAAGATCAATGCCCTTTGATTTTGAGGCAACGCGGCAATAGTCTTGGCCATTGCAGGTGGTAACGGAGGCAATCGCTTCTTGGGCGATTGAGTTTCGATGTCTGGCTCCAAGCACCAATCAAACTTTTCCTTTTCAATAAACTTCTCACAAACGATGGAGACGTCTCCTTCGTAGACGACAAGTGACTTTTGAAGGTGTTCAAAGGAACACCAAGCCCTGGAAAAGTAGTCATCTGTCGCCGAACGAAGAATTAGCATGTCGCACTGGCGAGCCAGCAAGTCCAAGTTCTTGAGAACCTCTTTCATTTCCACGCTCTCATGAGCTAGGCGTGGTGCTGGGTGGTTCTGGGGTAAGCACGCACAGTCATACCAAACAAAAATATGGTCCAGAGGATTTTGGCACATGGACTCGACGAGTAGTTGGTCCGATGATCCGGCGAGTTTCTTTATGGCTCTAGAAGCAATGGAAGCCGCCTGCGGCATCCCTTCGGTCATGTCCTCCACATTTTCCGGCCAATTATGTTGGAGCTCTCGGGTGATGGTGGCTTGAAACATGTCCTCCAAAAGAAGCAGCACGCCCTGAAGAGTCTTGAGCTGCGCTCCACTGGCATCCGGCCTCTCGGGTGTCTCCCAACGATGCGAAATAAAGAGGTATGACAAGGCATCGAGGGCGAATGGGTTGCGGGGCTGGGGTGTCTCGCTCAAAATTTGACGGGGAAGCAACCCTTCCAGATTCAAAACTTGACGGGCAGAGAGAAAACGGAACAACGGCATTCCTGGGTTGTTGGGATCTTCGACCATAGTGGACATGAACCCATTATCCTTGGCCAAGGAAGGCGCGGTGGATTTGGTACGAGCAGACATTGCAAATGATGAACAGGTGCCAGCAAGTAGGATATTGGGCTCGTTGTTGGATTGTGAAGAAACATCAAGAAGATACAGTGTACCACACCTCCCAAAGCTCGCTCGATATCTTTTTGGGTTGCAAAAATGAACCTCCAAAAGCACAGCTCGAGCATTGTCCCAGACTTGGATCAATCATCTACATCTTGAAAAGCCAAAAAGGGTTAGAGGACAGATGTAGTTGAGTCGGGGATGACAAAAACGCCAACAGAGCTGCAATACCGTAGGAACAGTGCAGATCTGGTCTGCACCTCTTCCTTGCCCAAGCCAGCTTCCACTTGACACCACCAGTCCTTTTTCGAGCTGTCAACACCACTAAAAAGTGGTGCTGTCCCTGAAACTTGACACCTCAAGTCCATTGGCCATGTTTCCTGTCCTGTCCTCGTCAAGAAACCATGCGGTTGCTTCCTTGCTGATACCTTGCCTTATCTTGCTCTCTTTAGCGAGAACAGTTCATTCGTTTCAACCAAGCAAATTGTTACGGCATACTATCGCTTTGGATACCCCACACCCCCACTTCTTGGCCAAAACAAGTGATGATACGGAAACGACAAAACAGAAGCGAGCCAAAGGAGTCTATGTTCGACCCTCCGCGGTGATTGAGAAAGGATCTGGGTTCTTCTTTCCGGGGCTCGAAGGGCCACGAGTGCGGCTGTTTACCGGCACGGCCTTGTTGGCAGTGACGGCAATAAACCATGTTCTGACCGAGAACAGCAGTGGATTTTCCGAAGCTCTGGCAGTCTTTTATAGCTTTTTGGTATTATTTCAAGGCGTCATTGAATCGGTCAAGGATGGGCGAGTGGAAACCATTGCTTCCAGGGACGAGTCATCCGTCCCCACGCAACAGCAATTGTCTCAACAATGGAGCAGTACCGCAACAGAAGGGCAGGACAAGGTCGAATGGGCAGCTGCCTCCTTTCTAGCTCTGACTCCGGCTACACACATGATGCTGCTGCGACGAGACAATGACAATGATCCATTCATATACTATTCGTTGGGACCTGATAAGCCGTCAACCAATTCAGAGAAGATTGCTTCTGCTGCCATGGCAGCACTCGATACGGCCAAAGCCTCTCAGGGAGGAAGGGTGGCGCTGCCAGTAGATCATCCTGCTGCTGTTGGCTTGATTGACAATCCACAAAACCGACGATGCGTCATTCTCCAACAAGTAAGCAGCACACCCGATATGTGTTGGATGGTGGCTTCCAATGATTTGTTGGCTAGTTTTACCAAGGGTGACTTGCAATGGCTGGGGCAAATGGCTACATTTGTCCTGGACTAGACTAGCTAGCTAGATGGGACCAAGTGAATTGCACAAACAACAAATTGCGAGAATGAGGAGCAATGCGTGTTCTCAGAGCAACAGTTCGAGGACCTATATTCCCTCTCTCGGCAAAGAAGTAATTGCTAGCTAGCATGGTCCTTGTTTTTTTTGTTGTTAAATTGCCACCCACTGATGGAAGTCGGAATCATTCCATTCCCTTTAGAAAGTAAGAAAACGACGGAAGGTTTCATTTCACCCAGATGCTACCGTACCTATTGTGCCCAGACGCAATGCCCCTATCGTCCCCATTTCGTTTTCGAGAATACCGACATGGTCGTCGTCACGACCACTCGTTTGAGAGCTAAGACTGGCTGGTTCCATTGGTTTTCGTAGGGCTATTTCGGGTCTAGCCAGCCTCATCTTGATACCGGCACTATCATTTTCGTACGCAATTGTCTTTCTCTATGCCTGATTTAGTTAGAATCTATGTAATTTATTTTATGGATGTATGCACGAGACATTGGCCAAATCGAGAAAGGTGTCCAGCACCCCCCTTCCTCTCACCTCGTTTCTCGTGACACTTGACTGAACGGGGCCACAGTCGTCTTTTTGGGGCTGATGATAATAACCACACCGATTGAATTCTTAAAATGGAAAACCCAACGTGTTGTCTTGGTTTTGTGCATTATTTCCTGCTCCGGAAAAGGCATTCAAGATGCTGTTTGCATGTCCCGCCTGCTGTAAGGATTGGATCAGTAGCTGTTGCTGCAGCCTTGGGGGAAGAGACGCAATCACTGACTGATGATGATTCGCTGCTGGTGATGTTGCGTTGGGAAGAGCTTGGGAGAGGAAACTCTGTGCCAGCTGTCCACCATTAGAGGGAAGACCAGGCTGCTGCTGCTGCTGCGAAACCAGGTTGCTGAACAGCAGCCGATCCTGCAACATATTTTCTCTCTTTGCAGCAATCAAATCCCGCAATCCCTGAAGGCCCGGCTGAAAGGCTCCGGCAAGGAGCTGATCCAGTTGGGACGGGTTGGTAGCCCCGGCGGCCGGGGCAGCAGAAGCCAACTGCTGCTCGACGGGGTTGGCATTATTAGCAGACACCAATCCCAGCAAATGAGACCCTGCAAGCTGCCCCATGCCTTGTGAATTCTGCGGAACCAAATTAGTAGACTCGGCTGGCTGTTGCTGTTGCGGAGTCGGAAGACCCGCCGACGATGGTTGGGTACGGGCTTTTTCTTCGTCCGCCCTCTTGCGGGACGATTCCTCTCGCTGTCTACGACCCTTCATGGCGAGCTCATGGTTGTAGGCATCCATTTCCTTTCGGTACCGCTCCGTGTCCTCATTGGCTAGGACCTTGAAGCGGCCCAGCTCCTGTTCGGTGAGCGACTTCCATCGCTTGCCGATCGTCTTGGCCATCTTTTCAAATCCAATCTTTTCTCCGCCCACAGCGGCACCTTGCGCTTGTCTCTCGGCCAATAGCCTGGCACGTTCTTCCTTGAAAAAAATGTTGTAGGCGCTGCAGTGGATAATAGAGGGGATCATATGAATTCGTTAACTGTCCACACCAAGTTATAGATACACCCATGCCAATACGGTAGCGACATACCTCAACGGCCTACGAGGCATATCCTTTGGCTTTCGAGCCCGAAACTGGCGCTTCTTCTTCACCTCCTTCTGAGGTTTCTTGCCAGAGGCAGTGGACGCAGCCTGCTGCGTGCGGACAACGACAACAAGAGGTGAGAAACAGACGAAGTCACACACAGACAAACCAATACCGGTATCCCTTACCACAACCCCATTGAGCCCTGATGTAGAGGGGAGAGAAGCCATTGTCGATACGGTAGGTTATGATCTGATCTGATATGTAGTGAAAGGCTTGTCCTGCTGATGTGTTACTTCCCGCTTACTTCCTGCTTTATGCTGCTACAATACCTTTCTGAATAGTTATTGAGAAAGAGGTAACAACGGTGTGGTGTTGTTGCTCACTGTTCGCGCAGGCAAATTAATTAAGCATTACCAGCTGGGTAATAGCTATTGGAGGATAATAGCTATTTTAATAGCTATTGTTTGCGGTTTGAGAGGTCTATTTTATTCAGGTAGATGCGGTAAACCATTTCTGATTTGAGAAATAACAATTGCTTACCTTAAAATAAAAATATCAAACCAGTTTACCTAAGCTTCCCATTTGAACAGTCTTTTTGGGGTGCGATTGAATCGAAGATGACTGCCGATGCCGGAGCTCTCCCGTTTGCTGGTAGCTGCTGGTACTACTACTAGTAAACAACCCAGAGCATCCGAACACTACAGGCTACCGGTACAGGCTATTGGTATCATAAATGCCAGCAGTCGGAAGTAAAAGCCTTCCTTTTCTAGTACTCGAGGAAAAATGGGAACTCGTGTTGTACACTGTCGTCCATAGGAGTCCATAATCCAATGGGTGACAGTTGTTCTGACGTTCTGACGAGCCTGACGGAAACAGAAATTTTTATCAGGCTTTTGTTAATAAAATCTAACTGTTGCCTTGAATAGTCCAAATAAACAAAAAGAAATCAGTGACCCTCATTTCAAGGAACAGAACAACAGAACATTCTGCTTAATTAAAAAAGGCTTCATCAATCTCGGAATTGAGGTGGCGCTCGCCGTAAGTTCCCGTCTTGGCTTGCAGGCTTCCGGCACCCCAGGGGTACTAGCTAGCTAGTCCAAGGTCCAAGGTGCTCGGATAGATGCACGCACCCAAACAACCTCTGATGAGTAGTTCTAGGGGATGGGCATGGGCAAGCCCTAGATTGCATTGGTTAGAGCTATAATAATAGCTAGAAATACATTGAAATAGATACAGAGATAGCAACTGCAGATCCAGAATTAAAGTGACGCGACTGTTGTCAACCCAACAGAGATCAAGCCAATGATGTCCAGCCGTTCGTGAGCAAGCAAACCATGTAGAGCAGATGCGCTGCAGGATCAGCACAAAAAATGACGGGACATCATTGATCACAGTTGGCAAAACAGTAATCAAGGCCGCATGGTTGTAAAGAATAATGGGCAGGGCGGCGCCCATATCAATATCAAGAAACCTGCCAGGGGCGGACACTGCCCTCATCAGCCAATCCCAAGCTGGGTGATGACAGCACATACCCCAAAGCAATGCTTGTGGAGGATGAGGTCGTGCCTGAAAATTTTGGTTCAGGACGACAAAGTTCTTCAGCAGTGAATTGATACCCTCGCTCATGGCAGTGGCGGGCATCAGCCTTGGCCGCTTGTCAGACCATGACACAAACTTGTTGGGTGTGCGGATGTGTGGTGTGTGGGTGCAGGTAGCCGCCGTCAGCCTCCATGCTCCATGAACTCATTGGGGCTAAGCTGTTGCACAAGATCGAGCTTGAAGATCTTCAAATCCGGCCAAGGGCCACACCGAAGGGGCCAGTGGTTCAAAAATGTCACCGGTTTGTTGAATGCACACGCCCACCTCACGCTCGTGCTCCAGCTCCATCTCCAGATCCAATGCTGCAGCAGTTGCTCCATCGTCTCAACCAGCGTGCAAGAAGCTCAAGTGATGAAGATGAGGTGACGGACAGCATGAACAAGAGTAGTTGGCAGCACAGAGGCAACAGTTCGACTCCACCGCACGACAACTCGACGAACAGTATAAGAGAGCTGCCACCACACGAGACGAGCAGGTTCAGCAGAAATCACCAGCTGTCTACCGTTATTTTAGAAAGCAACATGAGCCAAGAAGATTTCCACAATATGTATGTATGATGCAGCGGATGCCCATGGCTGCAGCGCCCGCGAAAGCTCCAGTCCCACCGGATCCAGGCCTCCCTATGATTTCACAGTTTCCGATGAGTCGAGTCGAGTTGACTGCCGGTGGAAGCTGCATGCCTGAGGAAGAACAGTTCAAGACACCAAGGGATGGTTAGAAGATTGAAGAAGAAGATTGAAAAGAAGAGATCGAGAAGAAGAACAGTTGACCATGGCTGGCACCAGTGTTGGCCGAATTCCCTCTGCTGGTGCATCTCGGATGTTTCCTGTACTGTCTGTCCCACAGTGCTGCCAACTTCTCCTGGCATTTTGGTTGTGTTGCTCAGGCCCATGGTGCGTCCTCAGAGCGTAGGCCCCCGGTATATAGATTTGCTTCCTAGCGCTGCTTGTCGATCGTCGCATGCATGCAATGCTGGTAGCTAGAGTTGAGGCGGATACCCTTGGTTCAATCCAGGGGTGTCGTTCGCTAGGCACGAAAGATCTTGGATCTTCTAAGATTTAGAAGGGTAGATCCGGTAAATATAGGGTTAAAGGCTGTTCATAATCATATCAAAAACTTAGTTTACCGCATCTACCTGAACTCTTAACAGATCGCGAACCCTTGGCTCTGGTTAATTGATGGATGGATCGCGATCTTTTTTCAAGGCGCCTTGTAAACCACTCCTTGCTTGGCCTGAGTATCTATTGCATTCTAACAGCATCGATCCAACCCCTCTACCGGTACCCCAACCCTTCTATCGTCTTATTGCCATCACCACGCGGACCTTGTCAACAAACGGCGTACCAAGAACTCTTCCTTCCTTTGGATTGTAAAGAGCAAAGTCTGAGTTAACTGCTCCCAAAAACAAATTGAAGCTGTGGTGCTCTAATAAAAACCGGTACCTGGTAGTCTAGTCTACACGGTATCATGCTACTACAATCCAAAATGACGACGATGGGCACAACACTCCTGTTGTTGTTGACGATCAGTATGCTGTGGCCGACGGCTCATGGGTTGCTGATTCCTCAATCCCATGTCACTACGTCATCTTCCACTACATCTACATGTAGTACTCGGCTGTGGGCCAAAATGCCATGGGACAATATGATGGACGACGTGTTTGCCAAAATGACGACCCCGAGCAACAATAACAATAACAACATGCCAACTACTGATAGTACTACTGATAGTAGTAACAACGACGAGCTCATGTTGGAATTGGAAGATCAATCGGATGTAGTATTGGGCTTGCAAATTGCCTTGGACGAATTGGAATTGATTTTGGACAAGAAACAAGCCGAATTGGAAAACAAGCAAGACACCTGGAGTCAAGAAAAGACGGGACTCATTGCACAGATTGCGTCGTTGACATCGTCTATTACGCAATTTCAATCCGCACAAGAAGAAGATGAGGACGAACGAGACGAACAAGAAGCAGCCGCAGCCGATGTCCAACGAGAAATGGAACGATTGCAACGCGAATTGCGACTCTTGCAAAATCAAAAACAAAAAGTCGCACTCCGCATGGAACAAGAAAAGGAACGCAATGATGCATTACAACAACGCGTCAACAAGGCCAATGATGCACTCGAATATGAACAAATGCTCTTTTACAAGGACAAGAAACAATTCCAAGAACGACTTTCTGCACAACAGGCCGAGTTGCGAGGAATGCAATCCAAATTGACACAACAAGAAGCAGCCTTTGAAACCACACAAACCGAATTGGCAACATCCGTACAAACGGAACAAAATCGATTGGAGACGACACGACAAGAAATTCAAGAATTGCGACAAGACTACGAACAAGGACAACGTGAGCTCAAACAACAAGTCGCCGCACAGGAAGTGACACTCCAACAAGCCCAACGAGAATTGGAACGACAACGCAAACAAGCGGCACGCGAAAAACAACAACTCGAACAAGAAATTGAATTGGATCAATTACGAATTGATCAAATGCAAACGACCATGGAACAACAAGCCGACAAGTTTCAAAATTGGGTCCAACCACAACTCGAACAATCCTTACAAGAAGAAACACTCAAAGTCGAACAATTGGAACGAAAATTACAACGAGAACAAGATCGATTTCTCATGGAAAAAACATCGTTGGAAAGTCGCATTGCCGCCGAACAAGAACGCTTGACAATCGTCGCCAAACAATTTGTACAAACACGCTCGGCACAAAAACAAATTCGAAACGAATTACAGCAAGAACAAGAATTGATGGCAGAACAACGAGCGACCGATCGAGCACGCATGGCACAGCGTTATGCGACGTTGCGACAATCCTTGTTGGAACGGGTGGAACGAGAAAAACGAGTGGGACGACAGGAACAACGCACGTTGTCGGACCGGTACCGGGCGCAATTCTCCGATATGGAAAATGCCATGGCCACCATTCAAGACCAAGTGGCCAATGTCGTGACATCCAACCACCATCTGCAAGCAAGTGTGGCCGATATGCGAACTCAAGTCCAACGAGTCTATAAGGAAACGCAAGAATCGGATCTGCGATATCAACGAGTGCTAGGGGAGCGAACGACGGAAATTGGCACGTTAGAAAGCAATATTGAAGATATGAAAGTGACCAATCAAGTACGAGGAGAAGAGATTGAACGAATGGAACACAGTTATCGTGCCGTGGTCAAATCGACTGTGGCGTTGACGGGACGACGATTGAATCGTCTCAATCCGCTGCGGTTGATCCGAAGGCGAGGTAAGAATAGTAACTAATTCGTTGATTATTTAAAATAAAAAGTAGCCAAAGAGACAGTGCCAGACGAAGATATATAGGTAGGCATTGAAAGGCAGCAGAAAGTTCCAGAGGATAGTTAGCTGTGCTTCCAAAGAGTGCGTTTTGTTTTATAGCCACGGGGCACTCTTCAACTGCATGTACTACCGTACAGTAGTAGTTAGTTGATGTGACACCAATAGAATTACTTCTCCCTTGCAATCCATAAGAGCAACCTTGGTGATGGCTGTGTGTGCATTAGTTGTTGATGTGTTCTCTACCCCAAAATGCATGCAGTGAAAGTTGGTTTAGACTTGCTCGGGAGAGACAGACGGAATCGTGGCGGGTACCAGGCACTGATCCCGCGTGTACGGCTCCTTTGCTTGAGATCCGTCATATCTTGCCACAACTCACTCAGTTCTACGAAGCATACCAGCATGAAGTCCCCGAATATTTTACCACTCGAATTGAATACACCAGTCATCATTCAATTTTTGAACACATGGGACCCTGTGTTACAAGAGAGTCACTACAGCACAGCCCTGGAAACAGGATAGTCGGACACTCCCTACCATCCCTTTTCCTTACCCCTCCTGCCCCCTTCAAACTTCTTTACCAACCCCAACTCTCTTCAACAAAAAGCTCCTGATTTGTGGTGAATCATGGCTCTGACCTCTCAGTGTACAAATCCTTAGATAGCCAACAGGCGTCGCACACTCTCAGGTGCCCGGTGTGGCCGGCGAGCAGACTTGACTGTGGGAAATACCCGGGCCTCGGCTGGTGGGTCGTCCTCAAGCACATCTTGTCTGAATCCGCCCCGGTCATATCTTGCCGAGACTACCATACCAGCCAGAGATGCTCTCCCATCGATCGCTCAGCATTTCTAGAACCAGGGCTAAACCTTAGGAGATATGCCACCTGCCACCTCCCTACAAGAGTGATGGGTAAGTGCTTCTTCCCACTGTGTACGGCTCCTTTTCACTCTGTCGCTTTATAAAGCTCCCGCATCACAGCTGGCATACATATCTACCAGAAGGGATCGTCCACGAGCTCAATGGCATTCAATGGTTCTCTAGCTACTGTACCTGGTACCGTACTGTAGTCTCCTGCGGTCGATCCGCCTGTTGATTGCCGCGGCGACTTTCGTACCTCCGGGGAACTTTTTTGATTGAGAATGCATCTCCTCCGTTGTTCTTATTTGTTGGGTTGGTGCATGCTATTCCCTCCTGCCGCAGAACATACATGTATCCTTCAGCCGATACCAAGAGCAACCCGATGCGTTGCAAGAAAACTCGTTTCATCGGCAAAAAGACGTTCAATGCCGCCATGATGTCTGTTTGAAACTCGGCTTGGCTTGATTCCCCGCCGTTTTTTCGTTGTTGGTGGTGGTATCTCCGTCCTCTTTTGTTGCTGTTGTCGGGAGCCGCAACCTCAGAGTTGTGTCGAAACCTCAGAGTGCCTAGCTAGTGTCAACACACGTTGATGTCGTCCCATTCTTCCGACGCCTCTTTGGGCATTTGTTGGTGTTCTTTTAAAAGTTTGGGCATTTGTGTTGCAACGTTCTGCTTCATCCCAAAAGTCGTGATCGTCTTTCATAGCAGAGATCACCGGGACCTGCATGGAATGGTACTACAGGGTGTTCAGTATTTGGCTATCAAAGGTCATACCGGAGTCGGCCGATAACAAGCTGAGTGAACGCTGCCCTAAGTTTTCGAGTATGGAGAACAAGATGCAAGTGTTCTTTTTACACCATTCTTTAGTTACTGTAAAAGCATTAACAAACGTCGTAAGAAGGACTGTTTTGGCGAGGAGTACACAGTTATTTAGGGGTTCAAGTTGTGTCACATAAGTAAATGTACTATATTTTACTATAGTTGAAAGCTACTATTTCAAAAGGCCATAAATCTTCACCCAGACTGAATATCAAAAATCGGAGAACGTGTTGAGGTAGATCATTTAAAGACGAATCTCCCAATATAGGGGTTGGGGGGTCTACGTTTAAGTCCTGATATCGTTTTTACTCTGACAAAGTCATTTGAATCTAATTCTTGTACACCCTGTGTAGTAGCATAAAATGTGATCTCAATGGGACCTGGAACCAGTAACATAAATCTCAATATATCCAGACGGGTACTTGAACTGGGGTCGGAACAAATATATCTTTTTGTACTTCACCTGTAACGTTTCACAAGGTATGGGCGAGAATGTCCTTTCGAGGGACATGATGGCTTAAAGCATACTCGTACATGTACTGAACCTCTTTTGGCGCGCTCATACCATATAAATCCTAAAGTCATACTGTACTGTAGAAAAGAAGCGGTTGTGCCCAAGCAGCTGACAGTTGCCAGTTCGCTGTGTCATGCGGTTAACTGTGCAGCTCTGTGCCCGAAGAAACAATGTCATGCTGTATGAAGTAACAGATCTGATCACCACGTCGATCCTCATCACCACAGCAATTTGCAGGAGTTCCATCCGGCTGGAAAACTCGCCTTCGGTAAATAGCGACAGCGAGCATAGATTATCGAACGATCGATGATGGCAAACGAAATCAATGTTGACAGTATCGAGTTCTCGGAGGTTTCGAGCCAAGAGAATCAAAGAAACCAAGATGCCGAGCTAGCCCTTGAGCTAGATCTCGGCTTTGAGGAAGAAGAAGAAGAAGACCTGGAGGAAGAAGTAGAAAAGGACGGTGACGACGCCTGGAATGAGGCCACAACAATCGTCAACTGCATTGATGACGACCCTAGTGATTCTGCCAAAATCAGCGATGACGATTCCATTGATGTGGATGCCGAGAAGGAGAAAGCTATACGAGACGGATTCCTAGGATTTTTAGTGGGATACATCCAAAATGAGCTCTTGGGGAAAATCTTGGGGTTCTTCTCCAATATATATGCCTTGTTCCTCAAAAAGATGGGACACGGAAGCAGCGATAATGATGGTGACATTGGAGCAGAAGATCTGGCAGAGGAACTGATTGATGCTGCAGACCCTGGAGCCACAAACTTGCTATCTCAAAATTTGACATCCATGCAATCCATTGGCCACGGAGGTGGAGGTGGTGGAGGCGGTGGTGGTGGTGGTGCTGGGGTAGGAGGAGGAATGCCAGGACCAGCTCCTCCTGGTGGTGGAGTGGGTGGTCCACCTCCTGGTGTTGCTGAGATGGCTACATCTGCGGTAGGTCTGCTTGCTATTGGCAGCTGTCTGCATGGCTCTGTAGTACTAACCCATGGACTCTATCGTCTTCCCCAAATTTGATAATTTCAGGCACAAGGTGCTGCCAGTGGAGCCGCTTCTGGAGCTGCCGGCGCGGGGGCTGCTGGAGCCACAGTCGGAGGTATGATGATATCAAATGTTCTTGGCAGTTTTAATTCTTATTGCTTACACTTCAAAAATTCTTTTCGATATCATAGGATTGGCTGGGGTGGCTGGAGCAGCTGCCGGTGCCGGGGCAGCAACCCAAGCTGCAGTGGCAGTGAGTATTGGTAAGCCTATCAGGAAGATTCTCAGTATTTATCACAATCACAATATCTTATACTATTTCTTGTATTCATTTTTGTGAAATCAGCGGCCGTGACAGCAGCAGCAGTTTCCAGTGGAGTCGCCACACCAACACCAGCGCCAGCACGCCCCGCACTCCCTATTGTTGATGATTTCGTACCACCTGTATGCTCTGATCAGTCCCTGTTGAAGGTGGGCTTTCTTGAGCTTCAAATCATGGGAATGCCCCCAGATACCCTGTTTGATCCCCGCAAGAAGAAGCTACTTGAGGTGCTCTTTCGAGATGTCTATAACGAGCTAACGGTCAGTTGTTTGAATCAGTCCCCACAGGGTGTTGAAAAATTGGAAAGCTGGCCGAATGAACTCACACTATTGCTTCTTGTCAGGGAATGTGTTTGGATCAATATTACCGTGTATTACACTTTGCTGAGGTTGTCCACTGGGAAACAGACTGGGGAAACTTTACTACCAACAGTACCCACAGCATCTTCTTACCAGGCTTTTTGGGGGATCTCGAAGAAGATTTTCTTGATGCAGCCACATTTGCTGGTGTTTCGAACGGCACCATCCACCTTGGCAATTCTAGCAATGGCACTGAACCACTGATGAATAGCACTGTTCTTTCCCCAGATTCCACAAACATCACTGCCTTCAACAGCTCTGTGGATACAAACTTTTCAGAATATCCCAATTCGTCTCAGGCACCTGAGATTCCCCAAGGAAACTTGGACCCACTTGCTGAATGGCTCTACCGCACCAACACATCATTGGCAGAGTATAGAGAGCTGGTAGCCAGCAGTGTCACCACAACCTCTTGGATGGCCCATGTTGGCTGTGTTGGTTGTCCTGACCATGAACCACTATTTGAGCTTCCTGATGGACCAGATTCCAGTTCGAGAGGAAGAAGAAAGCTGGAGCTTTCCTGTCGCTTTTCAAGGGATCAGCATGTCTTTCTCCAAAGGAAATTGAGGAACATTTTTGGGAGCCGGAACTTTGACATGGCTGAATTCTTTCCTCTCTTTGCTGCTTCCTTCGGATACAATCTTGACACCACCTTGCGCAATGACGGACAGAATGATGCTCTCGCTATTGTAAATGGGACCGAAAATGCTGATGAAGGTTTCCAGTCGTCAGTCATATTTGGCACCACTCGAGCTGTGACTCCAGATGGAGAAATTGATGCACAGTCGGAGCCTGTTAGTAGAATAGGAGGGGCCACCATCAGTCAAGCTTTGCAGCTAGTGGAAGCAAACAATGGGACTATTCGAACACCATTTGTTAACACTGAGCTTTCAACCATTGAGGAGTGCGTTGAACAAGATTCTGCTGGCAATGAACCATCAGAGTTCTGCAAGAATGTGCTTGATGATGCTGGTGTTGATTTTCAGACGTTGGGGACTTGCTTAGAAAACCCAAACTCCAATGATTGCCAGGAGATATTACCAGGTGTCATTGAGTCCTCAGAGCAACTGCTGGAGGCTGAAGACACAAGTCCAGGCAA